GGCCCGGGCCCGGGCTCGGTGCGTCCCTCGCTGGCTCCAGCCGCCCCAGAGGCACAGGCTCACTGCCCCCCTCACCCCGCTCTCGTCCCCAGGGTCTCCCGGTTCTCTGAAGCCTCCCGAGCCGCCCTGCCCTCGCCATGCTGCGCCTGCTGCCATGGCTCCGTGCTCTGACCCGGGAGAGCGCGCGGCCCGGAGTCCTGCAGGGCCTGGCTGCTGGTGACCGGAGCGGGGCCGGGATGTATCCCGCCTGCTACTGTGCAGGCAAAGCGAAGGGGCGGGCTGTGCTGCTCCCCCTGGACCCCTACGGCCATGGGCTGCTGCACACCTTTCCCCCGGACACCTACAGGACTCGAGGCCATGGCAAGAGGAAGAGCTGGAACTTCATCCACGAGAAGATGAGTTATGACACCTTCTTCACAATGAAGCGTCTGATAGAGCGCTCGCGCAGTGTGGGGGAAGTGCTGCGGTGGGTCACGCAGAACCCCAGCAAGGTGTCCGCCAGCCACTACCCCATCGCCCTGCACAAGCTGGGCCAGCTCTTACAGCAGCAGCAGCAGGCCACGGTGAACGGGGAGAGCCGCGGGCCTGGCCAGGTGCTGGAGCAGCCGGAGTTTCAGACTCTCTGTCAGGCCATCATCAGCGGCTGCTCCAAGTTTGATAACTTCAGCATTGTCAACTGCCTGTACGCCGCTGCCGCGCTGGGTGAGTGTCCCGGGCTGCTGGTGTCTGCCTGTGCGGGGCTGTCCGCAGCAAATGGGGGAGGCGGGCAGGGCGGCGGGACACGGGCCAGTGCTTGCGTTCGTGAGGTGAAAGGAGAACTTGCCGGTCCGGCTGCCACGGAAGGAGGAAGGGCGTACCGGAACTGGAGCCAGTGTCTGGGCTTGTGTGTGGATTTACATGCGATGGTGGCTTTGTGGCAGGTGGAGCTGTGCCCTTCGAAGGAGAAGGCTCTGCTTGGGGTACGCAGCAGGAAGGGAGTCAGGCAGACTGACTGCTCGGGGGGGCTCGGCTGGCTGCAGCACCCGGCACGGCGGGCCGAAGGGCAGCCGAAGCCAGCGCTGCCTGGTGGGATCGGGATAAACCACTCCTTGAGTTTTGTTCCAATCCCTGAAAATCAGAAAACATTTGACCATCGAGGTGTGAGAGGCGGGGTCTTGGCTAAACCCTTTGCCGGCCGTGAGGCCCGTGTCACTGAGCGTTTAATATTCATGAGACAAGGTTCAGGCCGGTTTGGGTTCCAGCGCAGCAGCAGCCTTTGGGCAAGCCGGTGGGCCGTGTCCTGGGGGGCTCCCCCTTCGCTGGACCGGGGCCCTGCGGATTCTCCTGCTGTGAGGAAGGGGATGACGCCTGGCGGCTGCCTGCGGCAGCAGGTGCCTGCCCTCCCCACCTCCTGCCAGCCCCGCGCTGCTCTGTCCCACGCGCACGTCTCCTGCCATGCTGTTTGCTTTTTTTTTTCCCCACTGCAGCTGCATGCTGGGCTGGGGCTGAGGCTGAGCCGCGTACGGAGGCGCCTGGTCCCGGCCGTGGGTTGATGCAGTAACTCTAGATCCCGCTGAAGGGGGGAGGGAAGAAGTTTCTGCTCTTCCCCCCTCTGTCTCGCGGCGCCTTGTGTTTGTTGACACTGAACTCTGGGCTGCCAGGCGCCTCTCCCCTCAGCTGGGCTCCCCCCAGCCTGCTCTGGTTTTGACCCACACTTTGTTCTCCGTCAGTCGCCCTTCCCTGCTCACCACGCTTACCCGCTCATTAATAAAAGTGCTAACCCGCCTTTTTGAGGCCTTTTTTAAGGAACAAAGCAACTGCTCAGACTAATTCTTCACTTTCCACCTTCTGACTGATTTTTGATTAACGATAAAACGCAGCAACTTACCCCATGCTGCCTTAGTTGCTTTAAAGCCCTTTTGAAAACTGAAATCTTGTCAGCTGGCTTAGGAGACCAGTGGGCTACCAGGGCCTCATACGGTGCATAATGCTTCATGCGTCTCCTGAAAATATCTCTCCTGACACACGAAGGATGGCCTTTGCCTTTTTTCGTAACCGCACTGTGTGCCTGGCCCCTTGTCTTTCCGTGGTTGAATAATACGTCCAGAGCTGGAGGAAAGTACTTTCCCCAGGAGCCGAGTTTGAAAGACTGAAGCTAAACTAGAAAATGGAAGAAGGTTAAAAATGTGAAAAGACTAATTCCTGTCGTACGCGGGCAGTTTTTATTTTGGTAATGTGTTGGTGTCTTATTTGTTTTCCAACCAAAACTTCTTTTAAAGTACTTTGTGAGGCGTGTTACTTATCTTTAAGAAGTTTAAGACTTAAGAAATAAACCTTGCTTTTGTGGATGGCCTAAAGGACTTTGGTTGAGTGGGTGGGAATAATCCAACGGCTCCACATGACTTTTTCCGTGGTGCAGGTGCACTGGTG